ATGTATTGGCTGTAGCCCTTATTGACTGCCCAAGCTTAAAATTTACCTCTAAATGTTCTGGTCATTGTCTGATATCATTGCTTTTCTTTGCCTTCTCAGGAGACAGTCTCAATGTGATATATACTTGTTCTGCTATTACCCAAAAATGGCTATCCCAATTTCTTTACTAAACTCATCATCTACGATTAAAAGGTTTAATTTTGATACTAAAAGAGCTTCAATTCAAAATCAATATTCTTGACTAAATCTGACAAAAATGTAATGTAAAATAAAAGTCTTATAAAAACTGCTAATATGTTATAGACTGTTAAGACATACAAGTTAAAAGTCAACTTATAAATGACAAGTTGTTGGTCATAGTCATGCTAAATACTGATATGATTAATTTCAGAGATAAGCCTTACCTAGTCCCCTGTATGTTTAGGACAAATAGCTGATGGCAAGGGTTGTCTGCTCAGATATAGCTAATAAGACAGTCCTCAAATGCTCAGAGATCTGCAGAAAATGGCATTTAAATGTTTTACTAAAAAGTTTTCTATAATGAGAGACATGCCAGCTCCAGACAGCTCCTCTATTTCCTCCAAAGAAGACAGATGGGCACAGAAGAAGATCTACTCAAAACTGGCTCAAAGTTGGCAGCACTACCCTGCCTTTCACCTCAACTACTGCAAAGACTCTCTTCAGATGGTGGAGGATGCGGCACTGGGAAATTGACTGCCTTGAGTTGCTAAAGACAAAAGGTAGGCTGGTCCTCCCATGAGTCCTTACTCCACAGAAGTCTATGGGATGTTCTGGGACTTTGCCAGCCTGAAGAGGGATGTTGCCTTCTCACCTGCCCTGAAAGACCATGGAGGATCCTGGGGTAGCTGTCTAGGCAGCCAGCAAGTAAGTCTCTGTCATTTTTTTTAACGTCAATACCTCAGGTAAAATTTATTCCTCTCAGAACTCTGATGCTGTTTGACCACTAATAGCTTTAAAAGACAGAGAGACAGAGAGATAGAGAGAAAAAGAGGGAAAGACAGAGAGAAAAACTCACAAAACAGATTTCAGTATAGTATAACTTCTTATCATTCTTTTGTTTAAAAGAACTTTACATGACTGCTGTCAATGGTCAATGACATGTAAGAGTTTAAGGGTCTAAAAAATGTTTTAAAATGTCCAAAAAGGTAACTTAAAATATGTAAATAAAAATGTTTCAGAGTACAAAAAAGGGGACTTGAGATATATGTAAATGCAAGTTATAAAGGTCTAAAAATAAAAAGGCTTAAATATTAAAAAAAAATTAGAAATGGTTAAAAATAACATGTTTCAGATTTCTCTCATTATGCTGCTGTTATATTTAGGAGTCCAAAATTTTATAGACTTAATATTAATTGACAAAATTCTAATAAGCTATTAATCGAGCTCTACAAAATACTCAAGGATGCTTTTCATTGTAAAAAAAATCTGTCACAGCTTTCTGGATAAAAATATTAATGTTTTCAACCAGATTTATTTCTGACATGAGTATACTGCCATTTCTGCAATGTAAATATCAGTACAGATCATAAACAAGGAGATATTGATATGTCTAAGACTTATATTTTTTCATAAAGTTAAAAATTCGTGCAAGCTTCAGAGAACCAAAGAAGCTCTGAGACTTAATCCACCTCTCACAGATCAAAAGGACTCCAGATAAGTACAACCTAAAGTTCCTACCTGTCTGATACTAAGGATATCTCCCTCCCTCTCCTGTCTTAAGACTTTGCCCATTTTTCTAAAGGTTTCAAATGTAATTTTTCCTTTAAATTCCTAAATTTTAATGTTTGTCTCTGATTATATCTGTTTTAGCAGGGTTCCACTTGACTGACAGACACATCCAAGCATCAGCTGCTGACTACAACCTATAAACCCAGCAATTACTACAGGCTGACATGGACTGATCCAGTTGACAAAAATGTAGCTTGTCTCCAGCAGGGTCAATTCAGACCTTCCTGTTTAGTGTCCTTTATTCCCTCTTTACCTTTGACTGGCCTTCCAGCTTTTCTGGGCCCTAAACATCTACGCCCCGTTTCAGCTTGAAGCAGCTACAGAAAATAATACATCATCTCTGTCCACAAACTAGGCTGGAAAAGGCCAAGTCAAAGACTTTAATTAAAAATTAATCAAAGATTTGATTAATTACAAATCCCAGGGGGAAATGAAGAGTCCAGGCATAAGAAAATAAAAATGTAAAAATAAAAAATATAAAGTTATAAGTCAAGGAGAATAAGAACAGACTATCAGCAGCTTTCTCAGCAGATCAAGGATCATTCATTCACAGTGAGCTATTTTCTCAGATGCTTGGGAAGCATAGGTCATTTTACAACTGGCTGTTTTATTTACAAGGCCAGAGTGTCTCTCTACAAATTAAGAGCAGTGTCCTGACCATCCTTAATAAACAGTAGATGTGAACTGAGTTTAACCTTTAGGAGACAGAGATATGTGACCTCTGGGTCAGACACTGTCTCTGTTATGGGAAACTGGCACCACCAGAGGAGAGGCATGACCTCAGTTTACACCCGGAGGTACCAGGAGACAGTGGATAAATAAAAAGGTTTAATTAATGAGCTCTGATAATGGAGGTTGTAAAGTATGGCAGTCAATATCTAAAAATTTACCTAAAAATAAAGTGAAAGGCTTTTCTTCTAAGTTCTCAGCCCAAGAACCAGTTAATCCTAATTTATTAACCTTCTAGTGTTACAAGCAGCCCCTTTTCTGATGAATTGCTAAAGATATCTGTTTTCTCGCAATTAGTGACTTTCGTTGTAATCTCCCCTAAAACATATTTCATGATGGCTACCTAATTACTCATTGACACTAGCACTCACTCCCCTCTTTAGGGTCTCTGCTGACCAACCCAAGGGTCAGGGCAAGGTTGTAAAATTCTTTTGTTCAGGGATAATGCCTGGTGCCCCTGTTATAAAAAGTAGGTTCAAAAACCAGCCGTTTGCCACAGCCTAACAAACACCATCTCTGGCTGTGGTCTCAGCTAGCTGATAAGCTTCTGTGCCCCTCAGTGTTTTATTTTTATTTTCTATTTTTAAGTTTGCTTCTGGTTTTCCTAGGATCTGGTTTCTGGAATAAAGTTTGCTTCTGGTTTATTAGACTTGGTGGTGTTCTCATCTTTGTGCGACCCCCCTGGACCCAACACCCTCCTTGCTTAGATTTTTGGTTTTATTTTTTTCCTGCTAGAGGGATCCGGGTTTATACAGGTCTTTCACCACCACCACCACCACCAACAAAAAAGAATTAGGAAAAGCCAAGCAGTGGTGACATAATACTTGTAATCCTAGCACTTGGGATGCTGAGGCAGGAGGATATCAGTGAGTTCAAGGCCTGCCTCATTTATCAAGCAAGTTTCAGGGATGGTACATAGAGAAACCCTGCCTCAAAAAACTAAACAAAACAAGACACAAAAACCAAAAGAGATAGAAAAGTGCTCACAAAACACTATGAACCAACTAGATGGCACTTAATAGCAATCAAAGGTGAAATAAAAAAGGCAGAAAATTTCTTTGATGAAATCCAACCTGCTTCTATTGTCAAAGCTGTACAGCCAGTAGAACTAGAAGGAACATGTGCCCATCTATCAAATAAAAAAAGCTAGACTCTCACATGATCATAAAAGATGAAAATCTTATGAGGACAAACTTGAGAAAATGCAGCAGGAACTCATGCTAATCTCCATGACTTTCAGAGTTCACAGAGTTCACTCTGCCTTCTAAGTGATGGGATGATGACAGTAAAGGTGTTTGCTTCCTTTTATTGTATATTTAGTTTAATTTTAAATTTATTCAAGTGTTTTTCTCTCTCTCTCTGTGTGTGTGTGTGTGTGTGTGAGAAAGAGAGAGAGAGACAGAGAGAGAGACAGAGAGAGAAAGAGAGACAGAAAGAGAGAGGGGGTGTTGAGTATAAAGGTATACTCTAGACACTTTATAGGTCATATGTTAAAAGTTTTCATTACGAAAACAAAAGTCAGTAAACAACTGTGAACTTTTTCTTTCTTTGTTGGTTTGTTCTTCCATTCATTCATTCATCTGTTCACATATTTGCTTTATTTATTTACAGTGGAAGAGTTCAGTTAGGGTTAGGAATCAGTACAGAACAATCCATCAGAATGATAGGTAGGAAGTTATCCTTGGGAAAGAGTAAGATGTCATGACCTTCCCTATTGAGCAGGAGCATTCTGAGGGAAACAGGTCCAGAAGGCAAGAATAAGATAAGAAACCTTAATTTCAAGTGCTGCCTGCCTCCCACAAGTACTTTCCCCAAAGTCAGGCATTTAGAAAAGAAAGGGTTTCCATTCATTCCCTTTTGAGGAACTTCAGGCCTGGATGTTAAAGCCTGACTGGGGCCTATTGGCAAGGTCAATGCTAGCTACACTCCTCCTCCAGGGACCTGAAGCCACACCCCAGTTCACTTCTGCTGGCAGCTATTGGAATTCATTCTCAGATCCTGCAGCCTCTTCAGGCCACAGACCATTTCTTTCAGAAATCCCTTCCCCCACCACTCACATATGTCAGATAAATAAATACTCACCAGCAGAAGCTCAAAAGTAGCTTCTCAAGAATTTGTTTGGTTTTTTTTTTTCTCGAGACAGGATTTCTCTAAGACAGGGTTTTCCTAGCTGTCTGGCCTTGAACACACAGAGACCTGCCTGCCTTCTTTGTGGAGTTTTGGGGTTATAGCCTTGTGCCTCCAACAACCAGTTCATTTTTTTAATGCTAGGTTATTTAGTTCAATTTTAGTTAATTTTCTGAAATTGTATACTTCCTTTTGAAGCTAAACTCACTGATTTACATTCGCAAGAGACTTGCCGTTGAATTTTGCATAAATTTCCAGCCAATCTGGGCCAGGTCTATCTTTAGATTAGAAGCCAGCCCTGTATCTCCATTCTGAGTCCCTTCTGCTCTCCTGTTCCCGTCACTCAGACCTCACCAGCCAATCAGAGCCTCTAACAGACCCGCCAGTCAGAGGGGAGGGCTCTTCCGGAAGCCAACTTCCTTTCCAGTTCAGCTCTCTCATGCACTGCGGCTCAGGCTCTCTTGTGTTCAGATAGCATATCAGCTCGGCAACTTCACCATGGTGAGTGAGGGGTTGCTCTGCACAGACGGAGGAGTGGCCGGGTTTGGCGAGCAAGGGGTCGCTGTTCCTAAAGTAGGTGGAGCGGTCGCTGAGGCTCCCGGCCGGTGTGGTGGCCGGGTGGGAGCCAGCGGACAAACACAGAGTTTAGCGTCTTCCTGCTTCAGTAGTCCTAAACTTGCAGCTCTCTGCTGGCAGCCTCTGAATCTTTTCACTGCCAGGACTGTGTCCTCACAGAGCAGAGCGTCGGGAGCCGCAGATGGTGGTGTCTGTCGAGCTTATAATGTCGTATGTGGAGTGACATTTGCCAAACGCGGAGACTCCTGGTGTCTCCTGGGTCTTCAGAAGTTCTGAAATTTTAACACTTAGGTTTGGGATCCATCTGTAGTTAATTTCGTGCGGTTTGTAAACGGTTTCTCCTGTGTAGAGTAGTAGTCTACATCACACTACTAAACTGTGATGTAGACGAGTATAGTTGATAATAGAATTAATGGTATAAGTATGTACTGGTTCTTAGAAGACATTAAGTCACACAAAGTAGAATTTAAGTGAGGGAGGGCTGCATCCTAAATATCCAAAGATGAGTAGCACGCACACTATGCCTGTTAAAGATTAGTATCATGAGTTGCAAGTGTTGTTCACCAGGATTAATCAGCCATTAAGGAACATTCCTATAACAAATGAGACAACCATGATTTATAACCAGCCAGAAGACCCACTTCTCCATCAAAGGCCTCTGACCTTGTACTCAGGGGCCGTTACAGGGTCACAACCTTGTGTCCCAGGAGAGTATAACAATTCTAGATCAGCTGTATTTTTTAGCTCTTAGGAAAGCAGTTGTGACTCGGTGACCCCTGTGCTGATTGAGGTGGACTTGAATTCTGTCTGCAGTTCCACAGGGCTTTGTCCTTCCTGTCCTCTTGGCTAACCATCATACATTCCTAGATTACAAGTATGCTGCACCACCGAGTTCTACAATTACCAGTTTGAGTCATACAGTGGGACTGTCCATTGCAGTAACAATGAAAGGATTTGCATGTAGAGCATGGCTTCTCCCTTCAGACCAGAAAAGTAGGAACGATGTACTGTGTATGCTGGAGGGGGTAAGCACACTGGACAATAGCTAGATCTTAGACTGAAGTTTAAGGCCGTGGGCTGCAGGGGTGTCCATTACAAAGAAGGACATGGTGATGGGACACAGGGAGTGACGTAATGTGTAATTCCCATCATACATCAATTCCTTCTTTGTAAATGAAGACAGACACTGGTTGGTGTACAGTTTAGGGAGGAGAACTTGAACTCCTAAGTATTTAGTTTCCAATTAGTGAACTCTCCCGTGCAGATAATGTTCAATCCTGGTTGACACAGTTAAGTCAGTTCAGATGTTTGCAATACCCACCATTGGTTGTAAATCCCTTTGGCAGCTTACAGCACTCAGCAGCTAACATTTTATATGGGACAAAGTTATTCATTCTCTTATTAATGGCATTCTTCCTACCAGGGAAGTGCTTACTCTGTTTCAAAGTCAGTATAACTGTGTTCAATTATTTTTTATCATTTTACAAAGTCAATTATTGGTTATCATTTTTTAGATTTCATTTTCTTCAATGACATGACTGCTATAATCTCTTTTTTCTATTTTCCAATGTTTCCCAGTTTTTGAATTTTATTCTATGTTTTAAGTGCTGTTTATTTATTCACCTATTTCTTTATATCACTTTAGATCAGTGATTCTCAACCTGGTGGGCCATGACTCCTTTTGGGAGATCAAATGAACCTACCACAGGACTGACTAAGACCACCAGAAAGTACAGTTATTTATATTATCATTCCTAACAGTAGCAAAAATATAGTTATAAAGTAGCACTAAAAATAATTTTATAGGTGGGGAGATCACTACATCAAGAATAACTGTATTAAAGAGTCACAGCACTGGGAAGATTGAGAACAACTGCTTTAGATTAATGTCTCCTGTAGCTCAGGCTTGCATCATGCTATGTAACTGAGCATTGCTGTGAACACCCAATCCTGCCTCTGCTACCCAGTGCTAGAAAGACAGTCCTGCAACTCCTACCAGGCTGGACCTTGACTGGTCTGTGTGAAAGAGAAATAGATCAGTGAATGAGCATCCTGCAATTTCAGTAGATTTTGTTGTGAATTTACAAGTCAAGTGTGATCCGTGTAGGAATTGAGTTAACTGACTAACTGTAAGGCTAGTGTAGTCACAACAGACAAAGGATGGGCAAGAAGAAGGGTAAAATGTTTCCTGCTGTGAGTAGTGAGGTGATCAATTTTAGATGTTCCATAAAGGTCCTCTCTGGGCATTTGATGGGTCCACAGACCACACACAGGACCCAGTGCCTTGGAGGAGAAACAGGAAGTGTTCTGGGAGAATGGAAGATTTTATTAAACTACAAATTTCCCAGATTATAGTCTCGTCTGACTATAGTGTGGAAGGACAAACCTGGAGGATGTTTGCTTTTGAGACATTCTATCTCTGCTCACCCAGTAGGGTAACTGCTAATGTCTTGAAGCCCAACTGGTTGGTCAAGAGGGACTCTGGTTGGCAATTAGGAGCACCAGAGGTAGTTTATAGGTTCTTTCCAGGATTCTATTGTTCTGCTCTCGGGAGCTATAAGGAGGACCACAAGCCATGCCATGTGGAGGGCCGCAACTACATTCTCCATTACTTTAAGGGGCAGAGGCATATTGACCTCTGTGACTTCAAGGGACAGAGGTAGAGATTGACCTCTGTGACCTCAAGGTGTGGTAGTACATGCCTTTAATCCCAATGCCTGGGAGGCAGTGACAGACAGATCTCTGTGAGCTCAAGGTGTTGTAGCACACGCCTTTAATCCCAGCATTGGGGAAGCAGAGACAGTGGGACTATAATGAGCATGTGCTTGGTAACTTTCCACTGCTGCATCCCTGCCTACTCCCGAGGCGTCATCTGCATTGATGGGCAGTGGACCAATCCAAGAGTGACACGTCCTAAGCGAGGACTGTTTCCTATATAAGGGATGGGTTCCCCTCATTCTGAGTCTCCGCTTTGTAAGCTTATGCTCTCTCTCTCAAGACGCATTAAAGCTTTTCTGCAGAAGGATCCTAAGTGTGTCGCATCGTTCTTGCTGGCGAGACGGTAGCGTGGGACAATGCCATGGTGAATGTAGGAGCGACTCTACCCAGACCAAGAAGAGCAGGTTGGCTGAGCTGTCAGAGCTGCTTGGACAGGGATGAACCATGAGCCAGACAGGTTCTATTGTTCTTTGTGGTGTCCTGGGTAGTGGCCTTTGGCCTCTGAGCTTTGTTGAGAGTGCAGGAGACTATGAGCTTGTAATATTGTTGCCTCACACTATGTAATTGAGAATTGCTTTGAAAACCTAATCCTGTCTCTGCTGCCTAGTGCTGGGTAGATAGTCCTTCAACTTTTTCAGGTCTGGGCCTTGACATGTCAGTGAGAAGGAAAAATAAATCAGGTGGTGAGTGACCTCCAGCCTCTCTGACTTTCAGTGTATGATTATAGATGAAGAGGGTGAGTACATAGTTCAAGCTTGAAGCTAGTAGATTCACAGTGCAGACAGGACAGTGGCTGAAAACTTTCCTATATCAACAGTAGTTGAGATTAGCATTGTGGAACCAGGTAATCAATTTTAGGTGCTCCACAAATGTCCTGATGGTCATTTTTTGATGTCCACAGACTGGGCAATAAAGAATCTGGATAAAGAACTGAATTTATCATAAAACCAAATAGCTATATTTACAGTAGTTCAACCAAAAGAGATCTGAGTAAAATGTGGCCCTGCCTAACAGAACTGTTATTTTACTGGTTTTAAATATACACCCTGAGATAAAAGGTTTGAGAAATCTTTGATGTGCTTTAATATAAATCCCTTGTTTCTGAAGCACATGGCCATATATCCTGTTACAACTTTTTAAAACAATTTTTGAGCTTATAACTATATCATATCCACATTCTCTTTCTTGTCCCAAGCCTTACCATGACCCCTTAATATCTTCTAATTCATGCCCCATTTCTCTTTAACAACAGTTGTAATTGTGACTGTGTTTGGCTGCAGGATTTCCCAGGTATGAGGCGATGGGTTTGCTGCACTGCACATTGAGTGTGTAATGGAATGTGCATACAAAGGACCATGTGCTTTGGAGGAGGAACAGGGTATGCTCTAGGATATTGGATGAATGTGTACTGACATACAAACTTTCTGTATAAGGCCCTGTCTACTGGCCTGGGATGGCAGAGCAGGAAGTACTGTGCTGTCCGAGTCATTTGATCCCTAAGCACCCATTAGAGGAGCTGATAATATTCTGAGGCCCTTCAGGGTGGTCTTATCCAGTGAGGGACTCTGGAAAGTTTAGCAATCAGGAATAATAGTGGAAGGTAGCTTGCAGGTTTTTTCCAGGATTCTTCTCTACTTTTGTTGTAATGAGTTGTAAGGAAGACCACAAGCTATACTATAGTGAGTGTAGGGTGTGCAGAGAAGGTCTGTTGATCTGTCATTTCTGCTTGGATTTGGATGGACCATGTGCCAGGCTGTGGTTCTGTTGTTCTATGTAATGACCTGGACAGTGCTCCTTGTCCTCTGAGCCTCCCTGTGTATGGATTTCCTGGGGAGAGGGAGACTCTGCATCCCTGGCATGGTAGGACATTATGCTTGTAATCTCACTCTCCAGTGTACACACAGAGTCATGCTTTTGGTGTGCAGTGGAAAGACATATTTGAAAACTAATAATCTGGTTTCTAGAAGTTCTGAATATTGCAGTCTATTTTCAAATTTGTCTTATAAATTTTGCAAGTAGTTTATAAGCTGGTAGAACTCCAGTGATGTTGATTTAACAATGCATGATTTAAATGTTTCTAACTTTCTGCTACCACCAGCTGCCATGGTGTGATTCATTGATGTTTAGTTCCAGGGGACAAAGGGCATTTCTGAGCTGCAGAGGTTTCTTAGGTGTGTATGGTATTGGGCAGGTAGATAGGGCAGAGT